TGATGAATTGTTTGTACGATCAGAAAGTGGGCATTATTCATACTGAAGAAGCACGCAAAATTATGGGGGCTGGATAATCAAAAAAATTCTTAGTCCAGACGGAAGCAATATTCCTGAAGCAGTATTATAGCTTGTGCAGGCTTAGTCACTTGACACAGGGCGAACTTTCTGTTGACGATTAAGGAAGAAAATTTACGAAGTTCGAAAAAAATTGCACTACCACTAGTAAATACAGAACTGAAATGATTGAGAGGTTCTTCATGGGCTTGAATCCAAAAATTCGACGTACATGGAATCCATAAATCCTACCACGTGTCAATAAAGGGACTCACATCTACAACCACCGTTTCGTAGACCTCGGTACACAAATAGACACCCTCTTCGATGTACGGACAAATACCCTAGAGACCCAAGTCAAAGAGGGTTAAAAACCATTGTGCTGCAAACGTGAGCAACAACATTTGGACAGATGCATGGCTAGGACTTATTTCAGATGTGGTCATGGATGTTAGTTTGTTTAATCTTGTATTACGGTTTTTGTATTTATGGCTAACAGCAAGGGAAGTTATTAGCAATTGTTGTTGGGAAGTTATTGTATGTTATTAGCAGTTATTTAGTTTTTTTTTTTTTTTTCCTATCTACATATGAACAGTGTAACAAGTTGAAGAAGATAAAGAAGTTGGTTTTGTTTATTTTAAAATTATTGCCTCTCTTAGTTGTATGAGTGTTTTCTAACAATTGGTATCAGAGCTTGGTTACATGCCAAAGATCATGCCGAGAAATAATAACAAAACTAGAGAGAGAGGAGAGTCGTCGAAGTCTGCAACAAAGGAAGGTCTGGTAACACTCCAATACCCGACGTTATCGAAAACCAACTACTCAGCATGGGCTATGAAGATGAAGGTCTATTTGCGTGCTGAAGGGGTGTGAGACGCAATCGAATCAATTGAGTCTCTGGATAGTCTTGATGAAAGGAAGGATCAAATGGCCTTAGCAGTTATCTATCAAGCAATCCTTGAGGAGATGTTGTTTTTGTTATCAGAGAAAGAGACAGCAAAAGAAGAATGGCAGACGTTAAAAACTATTCATGTTGGTGCTGAACGTGTAAAGAAGGCAAAAATCCAAACTCTGAAGATTGAGTTTGAAATTATGAATATGAAGAAGTCCGAGACTATTGATGATTATGCAGCAAGGTTGACAAGAGTTGTTAATAAAATACGTACTTTTGGAGAAAAGTTTGAAGAGGCATACTTGGTGAAAAAATTTCTCCGCTTAGTACCTCCTAAGTTTCTTCATATCGCATCGGCAATAGAGCAACTTGCTGATTTAAAGGTGATGACCATGGAGGAAGTCATCGGCCGTCTTAAAGCATACGAGGAACGAATCGGTGACAACAAAGAGAATGCTGAGCATGTCTTATTGACTCAAGGAGAATGGAAAGAGAAAAAGCATAGCGACAATGTAGCCGAGGGCGAGGGCGAGGTCGCAGTGGTCGCTGGAGAGGGAGAGGTCATGGACGTGGAAAAAAACTCATTTCATCAAGAGAAGAAGGCTGACAAGAGCAAGGTAAGATGCTACAATTGTCAAGGCCTAGACCACTATGCCTCAGAATGTCGGAAGGTGAAGTGTTATAACTGTCAAAAGATTGGTCATTATGCATCCGACTGAAGATCGAAGAAATGGGTGGATCAGGCGCGTTTGGCTGAGACGCAAAGTGATGAGGATGAGCCAGCCTTACTTAAAGCACAAGTTTGTGAAGTTCGAACTCTCGGTTCACCAGAGTTGACGGAGATGGCTCTTTATGAAGAGAAGGTTGTCCCAGAAGAAATTGAGAAGAAAAGCAACACTTGGTTCCTAGAGACGAGAGGCAGCAATCATATGACTGGTTGTCGAAGTTGGTTCTCGGAATTGAACGAGTCAGTGACCGGCACGGTGAAGTTCCGAGATGGATCACTTATAGAGATAAAAGGACGTGGAGATGAGAAGGCTGCGTCTGTGAAAAAAACAGAGAAGATGATCGATGAGGAGAAAATCGATGGCTCTGTGAAGATTGAATCGGAGAAAAAAAAATAGAGAAGCGAGAAGAGAAGAAGAGCGATGGCGAGAAAATCGTTGGCGCTGTGAAGTTTGAATCCGAGGAGAGGAGCGATGGCGTTGTGGTAGAGGTCCAGAATGTGGCAACGGAGGTAGCGAAAGCAAAGGAGATAAAAGAGAAGGACTGTGACGGTGAGAAGAAGGAGAAGGAGGACGGAAACAATGGCGGTACTATTGAAAAACAGGTCGTCGGAGAAACGAAAGCGGAGAAGGAGAAGGAGGCCATTGTTTCCGGCAGTGCAATTGAAGTAGCACAGGGAACTAAACCTGTTGAGGAAAAGTCGTTGGTCAGACAAGTAAAACAGGTAATTAAAACTATCGATGAAAAGCAGCTGCCCATTGAAACAAAGACAGAGAAGAAGGAAGGCAGCGATAATGGCGGCAGCGGCAGCATTGAACAAGTAATCAAATTGGTGAAAGGAACTATTGATATTAGATGTCATGATGTGAAGGCAAAGCAAGTAGAAAGAAACAATTGCATGGCAATCCAATTACATGGACTTCAAAGAAACAAAAAATGGTGGCACTTTCGTCCTGTGAAGCGGAGTATATTGCGGCAATGTCAGCTGCTTGTCAAGAAATATGGTTAGAACGTCTACTGAAGGAATTGCATGGGAAGGAAGTAAATCCAGATCATTTAAATATCGATAACAAGTCTGCTATAGCATTAGCGAAAAATTCAACTCATCATGATCGCAGCAAACATATAAATAAAAGAGAAGGGAATGTTTTACGACTCAGGAAAGCATTGTATGGCTTACGTCAAGCACCTCGTGCTTGGAATGCAAAACTGGATAATTGCTTAAAGTCTCTTGGATTTCAAAAGTATCCTTTAGAGCATGCTATGTATACACGTTGGAAGGAAAATAAAATTCAGATAGCTGGAGTTTATGTTGATGATTTAATTATTGTCGGGTCAAGCAAGGATAATATTTTAAGCTTCAAGCAACAAATGAAGAAATTGTTTGAAATGAGTGACTTAGGATTGTTGTCTTATTATTTGGGAATAGAAGTTAAACAAGATGTTGATAGAATCAGGTTATCTCAGTCGAGTTATGCGGCAAAGCTTTTGGCAAAACTTGGAATGATGGATTGTAATCCGTGTCATGTTCCTATGGAGCCCAAAACAAAACTAAGCAAAGTGAGTAATTGTACATCTGTTGATTACACTCTTTATAAGAGTATTATCAGAAGTCTTCGTTATTTAGTGAACACACGACCTGACTTATCATATTCCGTTGGAGTTATGAGTCGTTATATGGAAGCTTCGACTATGGTTCATATGGCAGCTGTGAAGTAGATACTCAGGTACGTGAAAGGAACTATTGATATTGGATGTCATTATGTGAAGACAAAGCAAGTAGAAAATCGCTTAATCGGATATAGTGATAGTGATCTTGCTGGAGATATAGATGATCGAAAGAGCATTACGGGGACTTTATTTTTCTTATATGGAAATCCAATTACATGGACTTAAAAGAAACAAAAAATGGTGGCACTTTCGTCCTGTGAAGCGGAGTATATTACGACGACGTCAGCTGCTTGTCAAGGAATATGGTTAGGACGTTTACTGAAGGAATTGCATGGGAAGGAAGTAAATCCAGTTCGTTTAAATATCGATAACAAGAATGCTATAGCATTAGCGAAAAATCCAGTTCATCATGATCGCAGCAAACATATAGACATGAGGTTCCATTTCATTCGTGAATGTGTGCAAAAAGGAGAGATTGAAGTGGATCATGTAAAAATTGAGGATCAATTGGCTGATATGCTTACGAAGCCATTAGGACGACAAAAATTTGTGGAGCTTCGAGAAAGAATTGGTTTGAAGAATGTAAGAATGTGAAGATCCAAATACAAGATTAAGGGGATGATTTGTTAGTTTGTTTAATCTTGTATTACAGTTTTAGTATTTGTGGCTCATAGCAAGGGAAGTTATTAGCAGTTGTTGCTAGGAAGTTATTGTATGTTTTTAGCAGTTATTTAGTTTTTTTTTTTCTATCTACATATGAACCGTGTAACAAGTTGAAGAAGATAAGGAAGTTGGTTTTGTTTATTTTTTCTGAGTATTATCACTTTCTTCTATGAGTGTTTCTAACCATTGGTATCATAGCCATGCCCTAAAAAACTTAACCCTCAAATATCGAACAAAGAATTGTGAGCCTCGAAAGTGTAGTCAAAAGTGACTAAAGTGTCGAACAAAGGGTGTACTTTGTTCGAGGGCTCCAGAGAAAGGAGTCGAGCCTCGATTACGGGGAGACTATTCGAGAGCTCCATAAGCCTCAGAGGAGGCTGATAGTGTTACTTTGTTCAAGGGGAGGAGGGCTCCAGAAGAAGGAGTCGAGCCTCGATTACGGGGAGGCTATTCGAGAACTCCATAAGCCTCAGAGGAGGCTGATAGTGTACTTTGTTCGAGGGGAGGATTGTTGAGGATTATTGGGAGTGAGTGTCCCACATTAGTTAATTTAGTGGAAGATCATGGGTTTATAAATGAGAAATATTATCTACATTGGAATGAGGCCTTTTGGGGAAGCCCAAAACAAAGCCATGAGAGCTTATACTCACTCAAAGTGGACAATATCATACTATCGTGGAGAGTTGTAATTCTAACAATTGGTATCAGAGCCAAAGCAAAGATAAAAAAAAAAAAAAAATCTATTTGACCTTTTGGGGAAGCCCAAAGCAAAGCCATGAGAGCTTATGCTCAAAGTGGACAATATCATACCATTGTGGAGAGTCGTGTTCGTCTAACAATTGGTATCATAGCCATGCCCTAAAAAACTTAACCCTCAAATATCGAACAAAGAATTGTGAGCCTCGAAGGTGTAGTCAAAAGTGACTAAAGTGTCGAACAAAGGGTGTACTTTGTTCGAGGGCTCCAGAGAGAGGAGTCGAGCCTCGATTACGGGGAGACTATTCAAGAGCTCCATAAGCCTCAGAGGAGGCTGATAGTGTTACTCTGTTCGAGGGGAGGAGGGCTCCAAAGGAAGGAGTCGAGCCTCGATTATGGAGAGGCTATTTGAGAACTCCATAAGCCTCAGAGGAGGCTGATAGTGTACTTTGTTCGAGGGGAGAGTTGTTGAGGATTATTGGGAGTGAGTGTCCCACATTGGTTAAGTTAATGGAAGATCATGGGTTTATAAATGAAAAATATTATCTCCATTGGTATGAGGCCTTTTGGGGAAGCCCAAAGCAAAGCCAAATACTATATTCCGAGAAGGAAGGAAAGTGGAGCCAAGAAACCTATGCAGACCCATTGACAAACAAGGGCTTATGCGTCCACTAGTAGGTAAGTTGGAAAATCTGACATAGTGGTGATAGGTACACTATCCATCTTGGGTCATTATGCTTTAACTTTGTATGATTCTAGTCCAATTCATTTCTTCATATTTGTGTCATTTGTTAGTCAAGCAGAGCTCGAATTAGAACTGTTATTGTATGTATTAACTATTAGCACCCCAGCGGGAGTTGTTAAGGATAGAGTAAGAGGTAAAAGCAAAAGCAAGGCGGGAGTTGTTAAGGATAGAGTAAGAGGTAAAAGCAAAAGCAAGACACTTGCACAGTTGATAGCGGCATCACAAATTTAAAGATCATGATACATGTATAAGGTAATTGTATTTAATTTTGTAGTGCGTGGTTGTTTTATTTTTATTTACGACTATTTTTAATTTGTTATTTCTTTAGTATTGTTTTAAAGGCCTTTTATTAAACATGGAAGTTCATGACATTGTTTTATGGAGTCGTTTTAAGTGATTATTTTTGCCTAATAAGTTATGTTATGAAGACGGTTTCGACTTTAGATTGGTAGAAAACTAGGGTCGGTACATGTATGATAAAATGTGCCCCTTGGCCCCTGCATGTGTCATTTGCTTGAATGTTATGCTATGTTATGTGATGTGATGTGATTTTATGCTATGATATGCTATGTGATATTATGATATGATATCATATGATATGACATGCTATGATAAGTCATGTTATGCTATGTGATGCTAGGCTATAATAAGCTATCATGTGTAATGATATGATACACTATGTACTGTTGTGCCACGTAATGTCATTTTACACCATAACAAGCTATGTTATGCCATGATAAGCTACGTTATGATATGAGTGCTGGTGTTCAACAAAGTATTGATGACCCTTTCCCTCTATGGTGTTCAGTAAAGAGATCGTTAGCGAATGCTGGTCTGACAAACCAGACTCACGGGGGTGTGTGTGGCCGACTGGTGGACCCATGCTGACATGCGTGGGTCATGTGTAGAGAAGTACTACACTTCCAACCTTGCCCAGATAAGAAATCTGACTAAGACCATGATATGCTATGATAAAAGGATAGGTTCACCATGTTGCATGTGCTTGCATCCCTGACCCCAATAGTGGAGTCAGTTACCGACTATTTCTTAAAATACTAAAGTCATGTGCTACTCTTACATTTCAAGTAAAGGCAAGAAACTTGTGTAGAGATGACAACGACGTCGCATTGGAGATCATGGAATCGATACTAGGGTAGCTACATTTTTATTTTGCTTATTAGTCTTAGGTTAATATAGGACATGGTTTTATTTCCTAGTTTTCGTTCATTTGTTTATTTTTCATTTCTTAAATGTTGTTGGTTTCGTTTAAGGATTTTATTTTTAATGTGTAAGTCTATGATATTTGGCTAGCTAAGTCAAGGACAAGAATCCAATACCAGGTTAGGAACCATAAGCTCTTATAGATTTGTTTTTTGTTTCTCCAAAATTCCTCTTACCAATGCTGATGAATTTTTTACTTATAAACTCATAATTGTTTTCTAAATTAGTGAATGTGAGACTCCCTCCCAACAATTCTCAACAAATAAATAGCGGGTGAAAGCAACGTGTACCACATTTGTAGGTATATTGGGTACGTATTCAAAGAGAACACACAAAATGTTCCTACTTGAATACGCATCATTCATTAAAATCCCTAACTAATTTACCCAAGCAAAAATTTCCCCTTTTATTTGTCCCAAAGTTAGAGTCCCAAAGTTAGAGCAACTGAAAAGAACCTCCGCCTTATGGAATTAGACACCAAGGCCTTTTCAGAAACCAGGCTGTGTATGGCATAGATATTATAGTCACTATCAGCATTCAATGACCAATTGAACCACAGCCACATACACAACATAGTTTATAAAGAAAAGCAAAGAGAAACAACCTTTTCCTCCTAATCATGCTAAATACCATACTCTTCACATTGCCTTTTTGCCTCGAGGTACTAAAATTGAGGTATTTTATCTCTAAATTTTAATAAATTTTTTTAATTTTCCCTTTTATTTCTATTAAATTACTTTTTAACTCTGCATATAAATTTATATTGAATAGTGTAATTAATTTTAAAAAAAAAATTACCTTTAAAAATTTATTATTTAGAAAGAATACACAAATTATTTAATCTTTCTCACCATCTTCAATTAAATTTTTAATTTTTATGTTCGGGATATTTTAATAAGCATTTTTTAAGATATTTATATCATCATTGACTAACATTTATGATATGACAAAAAGAAGATTTAAAGTATTGTTTAATTTGTTCTATAAAGTGGGATTTAGTCCAAGTAGCCTTCTCTACTTTGTGAACAAAAATATCTTATAACTAAATCGGAGTTCTAGTTTTTCAGTCAGCTTACCAAATGGATTCCCATTTGATAAGTTTAGTTATAAAAGCATAAACTCAAAATTTAGTGTAGGAACCAATTTGAAATAATATTAAAAATAAAGAAATTAACTAAAATTATGATTTATAGTAAATTTACTTTTTCTTCTTTTAACAAACATAAGAGTTGGGTTGTATTCTAAAAATATTATTTAATAAATCACCTATTGATAAATGGTAACGTTTGAGTTCAAGAATGGTACAACTTAATGAACAAAACAAAGTTCTAATGAGAGAAATTTTAAGGATGTTTAAGTATGGTTAAGAAAATGTTATTTAAACCAACAATATACATCTTCCTTCTTTATTACTAAATGGTAGAAATTTCAATCTAAAATGTATTTGAACTCAAACATTTTTAGGTTAGGTAATGTTATGACCCGATTTTCCCGACTTTAAAAATAGGAAAGTGACTAAAGAGACCTACAATAAAAATGAAATAAAAATAAAAAAATGAAAATTTGATCAAATTGTCAAACAACAAATTGACATCCAATTTATATTGTTTAAATTTATTACCGGGGAAAAATGGGTTTGAGATACAACTACAAAACGAAATACAATGACTCAAATACAAAGATGGATTGACAATCTAGAATGACACCCTCTGTGACCACATAACTCTCAAACGCTCTTCAACCTTGACCGGCAACCTGCGAACACTTGAAAAAAGAAAGAGGAAACGGGTGAGTATAAAAACACTTGGTAAGTAACTTACTTGTACGCTCAAATCGCATCCTTAAACTAATAGGTATCCATGAGTTTTACTTTAGACTTTAGGAAGTTCTAGTCTAGTCTTTACTACAATATGAGCATCTAGTATGCTTCAAAGTTTGCAGCCATACTTTAGCTACTCATGGACCCACTTTGGGTTGGGAGGAGGTGGTTTACCTATTTCTGGCATCCCAGGCCTGCTATATGACAAATCTCTCTAAAGTTAACTACTTTTCTGTTCTTAGGTGTAAGTAGCTTGTTAGGTTCTGGCACGGAATGTCCAGTGTCTTGGGTTGAGGTGCTACCTCATAAAACTGCTGGTGGGACAATATGGTGATTGTCATTCATGGAAAGTTAAATGGTGAACCCTTCTACAAGACTGTAAAGTTGACATACGAGGCGACCCCCATGTACCGGCAACTACAGAGTCAACCTGTGTGGCACTACGCCCCCTCTTAGAACAACTTTACTATCGTGTTTACTGTCGGGACTCTTCCACAAGGTTGAGCAACTGATTGACTTGGTGCACTATAGTAACCGGCCTAGGCCAAACTCAACATTACTAGTACTAGAGTGGAAAGGGTAGCATAAACTTTGATAGCATCGCTAAATAGCTAACAACCTGGAGAGTTATTTGCAGAGGTACTGATGACATCATACATATTGCTAATGACCTTTAAGTGTTGTAGTTGTCATTCTTGGATGCCATGGAGGTTTACTAGGTTCTAGGATGTTTAAGGCTAGTGCCTCAAGAAAATCAATTCTTTGGGTGCATATGGGTCTAGACCTCCAACTGCTTGTAACGACCCTAAATTTCTACTTACCTAGAGTCACTACCGTCATCATAACATAATCGATTTGTGGGGAAATAAGTGTTTAAACTTTATCATAAAACATTAAGTTCATCTTAAAACACTGACATGGATTTACAAGTTCAAAAATATTTTTAAGACGACATAACAAATACTAAATAAAATAAATAAATGTTAAAATTAAAAACACTCTATTCTAACTTAAGTCTAAGAAAATAAGTACAATTACCCTTATGCATGTGTCATGGTCTCAAATTGGGATGTCATAGTAAACTGTACCGGAATGACTTGCCTTTACTTAGAAAATGAAAGTAGCACATGACTTTTGAGTATTTTAAAAAATAATCAGTAAGCAGTTCCCTTATTGGGGTTAATCACAAACACATACAATTTCATGAATGAGACCTATCATAACAGTTTATTTTCCTACGACGGGTATCCTAAACGTGTAATTTAAATGTGTACTTAATTTCCGTACACACTGTCCACATATGCGAATATGGACCTACCAGTCGGTTCATACACCTCCTTAGCCCCTTTCTAGTCGGGTGAGCATTCTCTGGTAGCTATTGAGGCCAGACACCCGTTAGGAAAAACGAACGTCTTGGCAGCATTATGGTAAACATAATGATCGTTTTCCTACCTCATAGCGTACACGTTCGTACTATCATGAAGGAGAAGGAGTATCCCCCGATGCATGAGCACACAATAATACATAAAGTCCCAACATTTTTCCATT